AAATGAAAACATATGAAACCTGTTACCATATTGCCTTCTGATCTGTATGTGTGTTTACATTACACATCTACACTTGATACATGGGAACAACAATCAATCAATCAAACATGCCAAATGAGATTATGAGGTTCCCTCCAATGAACTAAGCCAACCACATGGGGAGTATCAAAAGAACTTATAGACCCTCTGTGACATTCTGATACTCCTAGCATTTTTCTGTTTCACCATCTCACAGCATGATAAACCATGATGTCTCATTTCTTCTCAGCCCTCAGGTGGTATCAGAATGTCATCTCAAGGCTGAGAAGAAATGAGAGGTCATGGTTTATCATGTTGCCTCGGTGATGTCATTATACCATGTGTTCTTATGCCCCCATAATATCAAGATTGTCCATATAAAATAGGGGGATGTAGGTACTGAAAATATAGGTAAAATGAAAAAAATTGAAAGGAAACAGTTCCTCAAAACAACAGGTGATTCCAGTAAAAACAACAACTAGAGATGCTGCTAATGACACCTCTGGAGATTATCTTATACATGTATAGTCAGGTGCAAGTAAGGTTAGGGGTAAGTTTATATAGATTTTCATTGAGCTTCGACCCCCCTCTCAATATCTACTTTCCAAGCCTGTTCAAAAGAGAGAGAGAGAGAGAGAGCTCTAAACTACTCAGGGGCCTGTTGCTAGACAAGCTCTATCAAATCTGCTTACACTGGTTTGAAAATACTAGAATACTGAGTGGGTGAGTGAAGTGGGTGAGAAGTTGAGTGAGTAGGAAGAGGATATGGGATAACAAAAACAGATGATCACAGGCAGTAGAAACTTGCTGAGGAGTTCTTAGAACCCCTGCCTTGTAAAGACAGCTTGTAGATATTGATTCCAGTCCTGTCATATTCTAAATACAGCTCTTTGATAGATCTCCCTTGTTATATCAGCATCTCATCCTCCCTTGAAAACCCATGCTTTCATCCCGTATTGTGAACTAATTGATTAAACATGAGAAAAAAGGTTAGATAGACCATGTTAACCCATCATGATAAATCATGACATCTCAACCCTTCTCAGCCTTACTTATGGTGAAACGGAAAGATGCTATGAGAATCAGAACGATATAAACCTGCTTAATAGATACGTTAGTAAGATAATAACCACCTTTCTGCCAAGTTAATTCATTATCTTCGTTTCCTATGATGCAGGTAAATACAATATCAGATAATGAAAGGAAATCACTTGTAACATGAGATTAAGTGGCCTGAATAGTAAAGGTAACTCCTATGTTAGGTCACGTATCATTCTATATCTCACATAATGTTAATCTTGTTATTTGGAGAGCCAAGGTCAGATATGCTAACCTGCGCGCAGAGTTTAGTAACAGATGAAGCTCTCTTTAAGAAGCAAAGTCGAAAGAATGAAAAAAGGGTACAGATATGTATGAAAGATATTCAATGTAGGTCAAATCTTCATAAATCCTATCATTGATGTTTTTCGAATTCATCAAGATCACGTGACATACCAGGAATTGATTCATTCCGCATGCTTTTGTTTTAAAACAGCTAACCGCAAACAGCTGTTATTAAGGGAACACGTACGATACAAAGCTTTATGGATAATCATTGACTTATTTCCTCTAGAGCTCAAACAATAAAATCAATACACATTAAGAAATAAATATATGGGAGTACGTAATTGGAGTCAGAGGAGTACATATTATTCTCACATGGGGCCAGATAAACAAGAATAATGAATGAAGTTAACAGTCTCTCATTTTACTTTATGGGTCTCTATTGAGAGGTTACATGCTACAAAAGAGAAGTAACAAACCAACATTTGTGGCACGGCACAGGGTCTCTGACACTTATTTAATTGCTTTTTATGAAAAGACCTTTATGACTAAAAATGGTCTCAAGTTTTTCTTAGTTACACTTGCTTCAAGGAGCACATGTTATTCTAAACCAATGCACTTTTCTGTGCAAATACTATTGCAGCAACCAAACACATCTTAAATGTTACCTACCTCTCAAATGTCCAGACATCTAAACGTGGCATACCACACACCAAACTGTATATCACTATATCACTTCCTCATGTAATATCCCATATCTTGGACTGTATAAATCTTGAGAAATATGACACTAACCTGCACTTACATCTTTGAGAGCTGAGTGAAGTCAGTCTGATAACTCTGTTACTTATCTGCCTGTTCCTTGCAAACTACTTGCTAAATCTAACCAATCTGCAGAATTTTGCAGATATTCTGTTGATAGACATGATAGATGATCCATTGATATAAATATACCACATGTACATCATCTGAATGTTATATTTTCCAGCTTTTAGCTCAATTTTCAATGTTATTTCCACTTCTGTGCCGATACTGGCAAGGGCTTAGATGATCTTATGTTGTTTATCTGTTGTAAGCATGATTCATCCACTAACATACCATGACCTCTAAATACAAGGATTCATCAATCAAACCTCAGGCACTTTAGGGCGCTACAATTAAATCTCAACAACCAAGCTATCTTTGGTTGTATTATTGTATGCTGAACACTTGAGAAATATTTTCGAAAACCAGATAATTAATCTGAAGGGCCTTTACTATCACAGCAGATGCCAAATTACAATTTGTTATTGGAGATATCTATTTATCATGAACAGACTGGTGTTACTAACAATACTGGAACTCACTTATTCTTAGAAGGTCAAAATCCCTAGGTAATTTATAACAGCTAATCGTAAACATACATACATCAATTGTTGTACATGACATGCATTAATTTATCTTTTTTTTATGAAATGTTGACACCCAGTAGTCACACCACTACCCAAAGGTCCCTGCCATTCATTGTAAGGGGTTTACATATTGCAACGCAGGGGTTATAGTTTATATTGATCGATACAGTTGCAAGTAGAAAATGCATCTCAGGTTGCTGGTAAAAAACTACATAATTATGATAAGAATGCCTCTAATTCTTAATTTCCTTGAAGTATAGCTAAGAGACAGTTTGATGAAGCAGTATCAGAACTCACACTGGAAAGAAATATGGATAAGAGTCAAAAGGGGAACTTTAAAAAGCAACATGGCAGCCACAGCTAGGGTTTGTTATTGTTGTGTTGATAGATGGAACAGAAAACAGCTCTAAAGCAGGACAAAGTGCCACTATGACACAGCTTCCTGTAGAGAGTTCAATTCTATTCTTTTATTAGTCCTCATGACAAAACACAGTAGAAAGACAGATCCTTATTATAAGCATAGAGTGGTAAACGAAACTGGGTTAAGAAGCAATTTGTATATCAATCATTCATTCTCAAGAGGTAATCATAAGAAGGGGAGTGTTGAAAGCACAATATCAATAAATACAATATCACCTCCAGTGTTGACGCTGAAAATAGTTGAACTTTACATGAATCTCCACAGCAACATATATACCCCTCCCCCCTTCCATTTGTTGATGAAATATAGAAGAAAAGTCAAACTGACTGTAAATTGCCAAAAGGGTTCCGTGTCAGAAGCGGTTATGAGAATATCTCCAACCAGATGGATGCAGCTATAAATTCACATTAGTACATCCGTGTTGTCTAATCTGCTAAACATTGCTTCGGCTTCCAGCTAAAATATCTTTTACATGCTGTTATCCATAGAATAACAGAGAACGGATAATACAAAAAGACAACAGTCTACAAATGGCAGGCTGGCAGAACCATTATTCTTCCTTCATTAACTCCATTTAGCAAGTGTAAAAATAGATGGACTACCTAACAAAAAATGATGGTGTAATTTAATCTGAAGACATAGATCGATAAGGGTAATGAATTTACTTCTCCTGGAGTACTTACTTATTTCTTGATTAACACAATGCAGTCTTTATTTGTTTTATTAGCATCTAGATGATGTAGAAATCCGGTTTAGTGTTTATTGAATTTTGCGGTTGGTCGATACACTCCAATACATTTCAAATAATTTCCGCGTGTTACTACTTTTTATTTAGTGTATGACTCATTCTCTTCAGGCGATCAATTGATTTTTTATCTATGAATACAGTCTGACCTATAGGGAGTATTTATCAAAAACAACCTTACAATAGATAAAATGATCGAATTATTGAATACTGGATAAACATCAAGTTTGGTATTATTAAAGGATCAGGCATTGAGATAAGATGCTATTTATTCTCACTTCAGTTTAGACTTCAATCTTTGTTCACAGACAAGTTTTAAGCACACAAACGCTTTACTACAAATAACATCAAGGACTCTTAAAATCAGCCCTTACGAATAAATCACACACATGTATTTTTATTCAATACGAGGAGATATCAACATACTTCACGTTACTGATGTCACATGTACACAATACTACGTAAAGCCCTCCCCCTAAAATAATCGAACCTTTTTCATAAATCAAGAATGAATCTTAAACAGTTATACACATGGATTTCAAGTTAAAGTTGTTGCACTTTACAGCATGTTGACACTGGGATGTTAAGATTGAAAGCCATAGAAAGTCGCCTGACGTCATTTCCACAAATGTCCTCACCTTTCACCTACTGCTATTTACAAATCGCTATATACTGTATAACACCTAAGGTACTATGTATTCACAAGCTTTAGTGCTCCCAATGAAATCCAGACTAAACATATATATGATCTATTCAAATCATTGTAATTAATCAACTAAAAGGCTTTTAAAAGTATTGATCGCAATATATGGGCTTTATATGATGGAATAAATCTGCAATTAATAAAGAATAAATCACCTTATATTATAACCCCGACTCTGATTTATAACATGAACCAACTAGAAGTTAATTGCCCAGGTAAATTCACCAATGTAATACTGTACAACTTAACAGGAGTAATAAGTAATGAATGTAGTCTTCAATCAAATATCTGCTCCTACCTGAGATCTCTCAAGGTTTTACATTTACATTTTGAAAGAGAGCTAGCGGGGACTCTAGCGGGGATTCACTTCCATAAACAGATCACAAAATAATTACTGACCTTTTTTGGTAGTATCTTGAGCATCAACTGTAGCTTTTTTCGTAGGTTTTGGCTTTACCAGAGGAGATGAGGAGACTTTAGTTGTGGAGCTTCGTGTAGATGGAACGGTTGTCTTAGTTACTGGTGCCTTGGTTACTGGGCTATTGCTTCTTGTTCTGCTATTGGTTACAACCTGGAAAGCAGCAAGTTGTATTTTTCAAAAATATTATATCAATATTTTGATGTTGGATCCTTTTTGTTTATGATGCATTAGTTCACCAGTTCTGTATCATTTGTAATCCCTTGTATGCATTGCATATATACATATCCCTGTGGTAAATGACTCCAAAGAAATCTCATAATAAGAAAGTACATCCTTGTTATTGATGATCCACAGACACATTATCCTTCTAAACTCATTTTGAAAAGAGCAAGGAGTAAAGTCGTACAGATATAATCAATCTTAAACAACAATGGAGTAAGTGCGGTCCCTTGTGGCACACCACATCCTATTTTAGATATGCCACAAATATTTCTAATCTGTTCTAATTTTAATAACACTACCTCATTTCCCCCTCTCAAAATATTAATATCAACCTATTGTTATGCATTTTGATGATTATTCATCTTTTTACTACTGGTTGGCGCTTCAGAGTGTGTCTCATTCCCATGACTCTATCATCCAGTTTAGTTGACAAGTTAAGTCAAAACATGACTTGATAAATTTCTGATGAGATAATATATCACATCTAACCTCAAACTTCTTCAATGTTTACTTTATCCACTAAGCAGATTTCATCCAATTGACATGGTTACCATAGTAACACATCTATGATCTATCAGCAAGTATCAAAAGGGGAAAGGTCGTAAGCATACCATATGTCTTTACTCTATGCTTGTGTACTGACACCTGCACTTTAACCAATAGCCGGCTACTATATGGTACCTTGATAAATATCACATGATTAATGATTTTACCCTTTAATATATCCTCTTACTATACAGTATAAAGGACAACAAAAAACTGCACCAACACAACATCAATTATCGATAAAGACAACGTGAAAAGTTCAGATTTATCGTGATGGTAAAAAGTGTTGGTGAAAAATATTTCCGGCAAGGGGCTAATCAGACCAGGTAAGACATGTGACATGTACTTCAATCATTGCCAAAACTGTGCACATTTCTGACTTGTTTTCAAGTTGAGTTTACACAAAGTGCTACAATAGATAAGCAATTCAAGATAAGTAGAGTACTAAGTATACAAGGTGAAATGTAGCCGATGATTACAGTCATGTAATACAAAATCTCTGACGTATCATTTTACAATTTAACACCTGCTCTAGGTTACTCATTTTAAATAATAAATTATCAAAAAATCAAGTGTTCTAAATATATCAATTACATGTTGCGAAAATAATTTACATATATGCATAAATACTCATATTGCCAAGTAGTCTGGATGTAGAGCCAATAGAGGTGGAAATGCTTATTATATGAACTTTTTTTGCATATTCTGTTTAAACATGATATCCATATTCAGAAACTGTCGGATGCCCAACGGGCATCCTTGAGGAATTTTTTTGGCGGCCATTTTGAATTTTCACACGTTTTATGTATTTTAGCCAGCATATTAGAACAGAAAAGTAGCATACACATAAACATATCTTGCTGTTTTTTTCTATAATAGAGTTTTAATATGATGTATATACCAATGTGTTAGGTTCCAGAAATGTTTCTTGACAAAAATAAAAAAAATTCAAGATGGCCGCCAACCTTACAATTTATGAAATGTCTCACTCTGTGATAATATCAAATTGATATTAGTGTTTCCTACAAAATTATCAATAAATAATACTAAATACATCTGATTATGATCTCTTTCTCACATATAAAATATCTGAAATGAGTAAAAAGTAACCTACATAATAATAATGATGTTTCACAAGGGTCATTTCTTGGTGTTATATATATCTTGAATTTATGAATTATCTTCCTTTACTAAGATTTCATCAAGGATTTCCCTCAATAAATCCTCATCAGTTTCTTCCAATTCCTGTTCATTTACTGGTTTTTGTATGTTGGTTATTGCATTCATTCCCCTTGCAAACACAGAAAAATGTACATGATAAAGATGCCTTGGAGCATGAACATCGCCCAGTTCCACATACATTGCCCTCTGATGCACATGTTCACTTAATGAGCTGGAGAATTCTTTCAGGGGCACAGGGTGTATCCTTGGGCATTGTTGTTGGGACAAGTGAGCCTGTGCTGTTAATTTCCCAACCATAATCTGTTGGAAGGATAAGTGGGGGATCAGGCATATCAGCATTTCTCCATATAGCTACTTGGAAATGAGCTCACTTCACATGCTGGGAAAATGCTTCTGTTGTTGGTGGGAGGGATTTTAGCGTTGGTGCATTTGTAATGTGTTTTACAGCATATTCTTTGCCCATACAGCATATCTCACATCAGACATTTTGTCTGTGACTTTAGGTGTAATTCCATAACATCTAGAAACAAATTCTGTTGAAGTTTTCTCAACTTCAGTCATGTCTGCATTGACATCTCCCAAGTTAGCGAGTGAGTATCTATTCAACACCTTCTGAACTGTTAGTCTGCAACTTCCATGAATGCAAGATGTCGTATCACTGCCAGAGATACCATGCGCAGCTAACAAGTTTGGGATTTTAAATTTGTGTACATTTACGGTTGCATTAATGTTAATGTTTGCTCGGCCAGATGATGTCCCCTCCATTATCCATCGTCGGTTCCCACGCTCAATTACTACGTTCTATCTGAGGATAGGTCCGAAGCTTGATGAAGCAAGATGTCATTATCACTATTTGATGAAAATGGAGAAATAAATATCACAACTTCAAAATCAACACTGAAACAAAAGTTACAGATTGAGGTGACCTCAACAGGAAACAATTGCTATGTACGTGTCGTTCATGGGTGTGCCATCCTTTGGATCATAACATGGCCGATGGCTGGCAAAATTGAAAACGTCTGCATTGCTTTCACCAAGTACATCCTGAGACTCCTAACCGAATCAGATGTATACCTTATCTTTGACAGATATAAAGACAATAGCATAAAGAACAGCACCAGGTCATCTCAAGCTCAATCAGCTAGAGTGTATAAGTTCAGCTCTGACACACCTCTCCCTGCACAGAATGTTGTTCTGAATGTGACTGAGAATAAGGTCTAGTTGATAAAGTGTGTCATCGACCATCTCACTTAAAAAGCTAGTGAAGGATCATTCTCAAACAGCCTTGTTATCACAGGTCCTGATCCAACACCTGTACACATTCACAAAGGCAATATTGACCAACGTGATGACTTAAGGAACACTCAAGAAGAAGCAGATGTTGTTATCGTACACCAGGTTCTGCATGCTGCCAGTAAAGGCCAACAGAATATCAGTGTACTCAGTGATGATACTGATGTTTTCCTTCTACTTCTTCATCACTGTCTCAAGCACAAGTTAATGGAAAATAACATCATAATGGAGGGGACATCATCTGGCCGAGCAAACATTAACATTAATGCAACCGTAAATGTACACAAATTAAAAATCCCAAACTTGTTAGCTGCGCATGGTCTCTCTGGCAGTGATACGACATCTTGCATGCATGGAATTGGCATGTGAAGCGAGCTCATTTTCAAGTAGCTATATGGAAAAATGCTGATATGTCTGACCCCCCACTTATCCTTCCAACAGATTATGGTTGGGAAATTAACAGCATGAGCTCACTTGTCCCAACAACAATGCCCAAGGATACAACCTGTGCCTCTGAAGGAATTCTCCAGCTCATTAGGTGCACATGTGCATCAGAGGGCAATATATGTGGAACTGGGCGATGTTCATGCTCCAAGGCATCTTTATCATGTATATTGTTCTGTGTTTGCAAGGGGAATGAATGCAATAACCAACATACAAAAACAGTAACTGAACAGGAATTGGAAGAAACTGATGAGGATTTATTGAGGGAAATCCTTGATGAATTGAAATCTTAGTAAAAGAAGATAATTCATAAATTCAAGATATATATAGCACCAAGAAATGACCCTTGTGGAACATCATTATTATTATGTAGGTTACTTTTTACTCATTTCGATATTTTATATGTGAGAAAGAGATCATAATCAGATGTATTTAGTATTATTTATTGATAATTTTGTAGGAAACACTAATATCAATTTGATATTATCACAGAATGAGACATTTCATAAATTGTAAGGTTGGCGGCCATCTTGAATTTTTTTTATTTTTGTCAAGAATTTATATTTCTGGAACCTAACATATTGGTATACATCATATTAAAACTCTATTATAGAAAAACAGCAAGATATGTTTATGTGTATGCTAGTTTTCTGTTCTAATATGCTGGCTAAAATACATAAAACGTGTGAAAATTCAAAATGGCCGCCAAAAAATTCCTCAAGGATGCTCGTTGGGCATCCGACAGTTTCTGAATATGGATATCATGTTTAAACAGAAAATGCAAAAAAAGTTCATATAATAAGCATTTCCACCTTCACTTAAAATATGGCACTTCACATCCGGACTAAAGGCCATTTTTTTTCCCACCTTGGATTACTAATGTATCAAGTTTTCATGATAGAAAATCAAACTGGTAAACGAGTGTGATTTTTTCCTCCTGATTACCAAACCTGTTCATTTGTTTCTCCCGAAATAGTTCGGTACTTAACAAGGTAGTTATAGGCAATTATTAGATCCGGCTGAGAATACCTGACAAGCATGCGGTTAGTAGTTGTACATTAGTATAGGTCAAGTAGACCTTGAAATGTTTGGAGGCATGAAACAGTGATAAATATCAAGAATTGCTCCAAGGCTCAAATGTTCTAATGCCATTGATCATATTATTACCTCCCACCTGAATTGAAAACTTCATACCTAGGAAATCCAAGATGCACAGTAAACTCCAAGCATTTCAGCGACCAGGTGTTGCACCCAGTAAGTTGAATATTACCTTCCCACTTGAACATGCAATGGATATAAACCCAGTTAAGATTTTGGCAAAAATTAGGAAATACATATTTATATTAATATAATCATTAATGTTGAGTTGTGCTTCTCGTTCTAATGCCATTGATTGCAAATGACATGCTGCTTATCAACTAATAAATATTGTTTATTTTTATGTATTATTAATCGGATTTCTT